AATCAACAGATAAAATGTAGATCTCAAATTGAGGTGCATTTGTTGGTAAAATTGTTGAACTTTTCATTAAAAACCAATGCAAAAACATGTTTGTTTTCTTGCCATAAAGAAATGCTCAGAAAGTCCAAAATTATGTTTTATTGTTTAAAAGTTGGTTGTTAAGTAATTTCCGGCCAATTAAAAAAATTGTAATTTTGATTTTTCTTATCCGTTGATTCTTGATGTTTTTGATGGTGTACCAGTACACAAAAACAGATGATAATAATTGGATACATGTGAAATTCTGACATTCTAATATGTGTCAATTATTAAAATTTTAAAATTAATTTGTGCTATGGGAAAAAAGTACAGGTTTTCACAGATCACAAACTTATTAAAAAATCACCTATATAAATGAACTATGCTCCCTCCTCCTCTCCTCTCTTCTCTTCTCTGCAAGTCTAAGAAATTAAACCTTTGCCGTACGACTCTAATATGCCAGAATAAGAAAAAACTGCAAATCTGATTAAAATTACGAGTTTTGGCAAGCAATAGTGACACGACGAGCATCGATCTTTTATTTGTGTTAAAAACAACAGTTTTAGCCACGCTCTCAATCCATAGGTTATAAATAAACGTTACTATAAAAAATAGATACGGAATTTCCCATTATTTTTATCTTGATTATTTTTTGATTGATTTTTTAAAATAAGAGACCAATAATAAATAATGATGACATATCAGATAAAATAATAAAATAAATATCCCTCAATTTTATTAATTGGTAAATTTTTTTATTAAAGCCTAAAAATACTCTATCACTATTATTATTCTTAAAATAATATATTAAATCTATTTTTTATTATTTATAGAAAAATGCTTCCTATTGACCCTGATAATATATTTTCACGTCATAATGACAAAAAACAAAATTATAATCATCAATTTGACAAAACATCACAAGATTCTTCTGACACAGATAGTGATAATTCAATTATTACAAAACTTACTCCAACAACTACTAAAAACCATCAAAAGATAATAATTGAAGAAATTGGGAATAAAAAGAAATTTCCTAGATTTGCTGAAATAGTTAAAACTGGCAGTTTTGAACCCGAACGTCATTTTTATCCCCGTGTTTTAAATGCTACAATTCATCCTTTGGTTGCAAGCTTCTTTCAATTGGGTAATGA